CTCAAATATGAACTCCAATTTGAAAAACACTGCTGCAGATTAACAAGCAATTACTAGACATTTCAAATAAAAAGTCTAAATTTCACTAAGGATCTGGGGCAGTTATGTAGCCAATTTATCTCACACTTATACATTACTTGTATAGTTAATAGATTGAACTTTAAAAGATTGTTAAGGTTTTTGTCAAATATTTGAGTTATATACTTTCTCCACAAGAAAGCAAATAAAAATATGAAAAGTCACTTCCATTGGACAAAAGTTTTAAAAGTCTGTATGAACTTAATTATTGTTTTCTTGCACCTCATTTTGGTGAAGATGTTTTTTTCTAAAAAATATTGAATGTTTTTAAAATGTTTACTATGGTGAAGGCATCCCTTAATATTGGTGCTAATATCAATACTTTCATTATATTAATCATCACCTGTGAGTTCTCAATCCAAGTTTCATCTTGACAAATACAAAGCAGCAGGGTATCATATGATAATAAAGTCCCCACTATATTAAAATTAATACTTAAAATGTGACAAATTAGGAAAAAATATTATTTTAATTATGGCAAAATTAACTTGTACTTATTTTATAATTAGAGTATTTCATTTTTGTCTAAATATTTTAATAGTAGATAACAATTGCTAAGGCCCAAAAGTTTTAAATGTAAATGTTTTAACTCTTTTCAAAGGTGATTACAAGCAGATAAAAACTTAAACAGTTAATCTCTTAAGTGTCTGAATTTAGAAAAGTAGGTTTAAACCCATCTACACTTCATGTTTACTAACATTCTCCTTTTTTGTGAAAAATAAAGAAAATGCTCTAAGTGTATGTATGGGTGCACATGTGTGCATAAGCACAGAAAACGGGAATAGGAGAATACAGAGCAAAGTTGAAGTGCTGCTAATGTCACCACACTGCAGTTGAGTGGCAGCAGATTACTTACGCATCTTTACATATTTGCAATTATTAGAGTGAGCATATATTAGTTTTATATTTTAAATATGTTATATTATATAAAGAAATTTTATACAATCCAAATTGTACTGTGTTGCCCAGGCTGTCCTTGAACTCATGATGCTCCTATCCTAACCTCCCTATAAGCTGGTATTACAGACACTTACCGCTGTACCAGAAATCAAATTTTTTAAAAAAGAAAATAATATCATTCCAAACAAAAACAAACAGGAAATAATGTAAGTATCCAGAATACAGGAACGGTTAAATAAGTTATAGAAAGATATACAATGCTTTCAAAATTAAATGCTCTACAATTAAAAAAGAATGAACTATATAATATTGATGAGAAAATATCAGATATGTTAATTTATATCAAAATTTGAACAATAGTACATGTGATTCTGATTGTGGAACCAATAGCAAAATACATGTTTATTTTTTGCATGTAAAAGCAAATTTTAAAACATTTTATCTCTTTCTCTCTCTGCCTATCTATCTATCTATCCAATAAAAGGATCTGCTTTTCTTTCCTCAATGTTTTATTAGCATATATTAATTGAACAAAGCCATGGGTTGCACCATGGCACTTCCACACACTTGGGGGACATTTTCCCCCTCTGTTATCTTTTCTTACACTCCACCTTTTCTTCTTTTACATTCCTATTAGTCACCTTTTCACATTTTTAGAATCTTTATGAAATTATCTATGGTACTTTGGTAATGAACCTGAGGGTCTGCTTTGTGCAATTTTTTAAATATGTTGTCAGTAAGAAAATAAAGGAAAATCATTTCATCAAAACTGTATATGGCTATTATGACTCAAAGTAATTATAAGAATATTATATATTGCAAAAGTATATCATATTTTTAATGTAATAATACATTATTAGGCTACATATTTCTTTAGGAGATTTTTAATTTCTACATTGATTAATTTTATCATAAATGTATATATAAAGAACAAATTGTATCATAATTTTAAGTAATTTAAAATTTTCAAAATGTCTTCTTTATTCTTCAAATTTTATGAAAATTGTTTCTTTACAAGAAAAGTAGCAAAATGATAAAAAAAAATGTAGACCACATGTGGATTTTGAGGAAATACCTATAAAAAGGGTGTGATCCCACATCAGTGTAAAGCATTCTTGTGAACTTGTGATTTTGTATTTTACTTGTACCAATTAGATTATTCTTTCACTATTGAAAGACTCTTCTTAAATTATAAATCTAGCAATATAGTTCCTCTTTTTTCAGTTGACATGACCTTCAAAAATGATCATACATTGAAACATAATGCAAGAGTGTCTGAGTTACATGTCTGATAGTTTTCATTTTTAGAGTTTCTAAAACAACCTAGAACTAAATAAGTATTTAAAGTTGGTAAAGTTTCACAATTTCTAGAGAAGAATGAAACCTGACCATATGATTATTACCTAAATGATCTTTATGAGTAAAGATATTGGTTTCCATTATTGCATTTTCTATTTGCAAGGACAGTATTTGGAAAAGCCTTCACATTTCAGCATTGTTATCAGACCCACCCTAAAAGTCCCACCATAAACTTCCATGAGAATCACTAAACTCCGGTAATCAACAGGGGATATGAAACTATTTTGTAAAACTGTATTAACCACAGGGTTTCAAAATAATAAGTCAAAAAAGATCTAAAACACATTCTCAAAGAGCAGGTCCTTGGGGAGTTTGTCCTTGCTTTCATTTCGTGTAAATCTTTTTTATTTCACCAAGGTTCACAGTTCCTTATTCTCTTTCAGAAACTTAGCTACACACATTATGTTGAAATTCTGTATGGTGTGCTTTAATGTATTTGTTTCAATATATCCATAATATTTCCTTTCACATACACAGGTGTACAAATTTCCATTACATTTGAAAGGCCTCTCTAGAACTACTTTATAGACTTGGCCACAGTGTAGAACTCAATCCCTTGACTTTCAAAGGGGCTGTGGAGACTCAAGAGTAGGAACATTCTGAGATGTGTTCTTTCTAGAGAATTCAAAATCAGTCAGGTCAAAAATACCTAAAACACAGTCACCACAATAAAGAATACCAGAAATCAGAAGTTTGATCTTATTGCTCTTTGTAACACACTTAGGAATCACTGAAGTAGTTTATATCAAAATACTTGTGGCAGAAAAGTGAGTGAAACCAAATATAAAAAAAGAGTATTGGTAAATTAGCTAAAAGGATCTGAAAATTTTACATTCAAAAAATATGAGCCAAATGTAGTGGTGTATGCTGAGGCAGGAGTTTCACCTGACCCAAAATATTGAGGACAACCTGAGCAAAACAACCAGACTGCCTCATATATGTGTATGTGTATATACCTGCATAAGAACTTACCGAAAGTGTACTATTTCAACCTTGCCTCTTTTTCCATGCTTTGACTTTGGTGATGAGTTGGAAAATATAAACCAGAATCCAGAGAACCAAAGTATTAATTCAGAATAATGCTAAGTTTTCTCATTTGATTTCCATAGTCAGGGAATATTCAGAGTATTTGTTGTTAAATCTTAATCATTTGTTACTGGAGTATGCATGTCTAAGATTAAAAAGTGAGATTTTTTTTTCTCACACAAGAAGATAATGAATATTGGTAATATAAAAATGTGTTTTTAATAAAATGTGCTCTAATGTCAATCTTTGTTAAGAATGTGTCATTATTTTTAGAGCCAAATTTTAATTGCTAACAATATTTATATTTTAAAAATTATGGTTAGTTTTTTTTCAAATGCACATATTTTATCTTATTTGTTGAAACTTCCTTTCAAACATAAACAGGAGTGTTGAATAACCTTGTTCTAATTATAACAATGCAACTTAATTGTGTGCACAATAATACAAGAAACTCTCTGGAGGTTTCAATAGGAAATGGTGAATTGTTACAGGAAAGTGTCTCAATAACAATACAAAACAAAAACACCTTAGTCCAATCCCTTCTATGGAATATGAAGTAAAATATTTTTAACTTTGGGTGTGGAACACTTTTTCTTTTAGGAATTCTCTGCATTGTGTTTAACAGGTCACCTAAATGGACCATTCCCTTTCATTTCTACCACTCTGTGCTTATGTCATTAATATCTTATAAGTAAATTAAATCAAAAGGACTAGTAGGTCTTTGTGTCTTTAGTAATTTCTTTACATGACACTATCTGTAATTATAAGATGTACTTTCTCAAATGCAAACATCTAACTGTGCTTCTTAAAATTAATTCACTTCCCAACTTACTTTGCCAATTTGTCTTCCAATGCTCCAAATGGCTAAATGTATACTTAATAACACACCGAAGGGCTCCATGTGTAGTTAACACTTTACTTGTCTCAGTTTCTCCTCAAATGAGGTGTAACATTTTCTTTCCTCCTTCTGTGTTCTCCCTAGCTCTCTCCCTCTCTTTTTCCTTCTCTCTCCCTCCCTCTCTTTCTCTCTCTCTCTTACACCCCTGACGATTGCTATTCTGTTTTAAAACCAGTTCAAATACTAAGCTCACTTTTTATGTTTCTTTATGAATTTGAATAACAAATTATGTATTCCTAATAGTATATATCTTCATTATTCCTCTAGAGTTGTACATGCCTGGTTCCACCATAAAGCTGATGCATCTCCTAAAGGTAGGGAATCAGCAGTTCTTCAATTTTGTATCTCTCATTCAATTTACATTCAGTAAATATATGAAGTAAATATTTGTGAGTTATTTATTTTACACACTAAACTGAATGACTGAATTCGTCCTTATGGTCTTTTGCTACTTTTATGAGAGATTATTTCTTCTATTTTTATTGAGTTTGTGTTAATAAGTGTTGCCTTCATTTGTAAAATGTGGCGTCTGTGACTTTGGGGTGAAGCATTAAGGCATATTATCTCAGCCAGCCTCCTTGCTCATAGCTACAGGTGGGACTTAACTGTTCCTTAAATATGTCTCACATTTATGCTTCCATGATACTGCCAACTAGGCATGTAGCACTTCTTTTGTAGTTTTGTTATAATAAGGACTCATCAGTTTCACTATGAATTCTTATTACTCTTTAGCACAGAAAAATATAAAAATCAGTAGTTCATTCATGAGCAGACATGAATAAGTGTCACGTTCAATCACTTGCTTAGAAAGAAGATGAGTTGAAATAATAAGCACACAAACAAAATTCATGTTGTGAATAAAGTAACCATTATAAAATAATGAAAATATATATCCACTTGGAGATTTTACTGAGGTTCTTTCCTGTCTATGGAAATGATTAGTTATATGTTCTATTGTGCCAAGGACAGACTGGTCCTTCCCAGTCACTTACCCTCTGACAGCATGAATAAGTCTCAATGATGGATACGCAGTTCTCACTTTCAGTTTATTCTTAAGGATTAATGCATTAACCCATTCCACGTGCTTCTCTCCTCCTTTGACCATGAAAGCAGGAATCCAAAGGACACTGTCATTCAGCATGGAAAGTCTATGCACAAATTTTTCTCTGTCACTCTCATTCCGAAAGCCTCCAAATGCTCTTTGCACAACTGATGGATTCATGGTAATAAAATCTGATTTAGTTCCCACATCTGCAGCAAACTCCACCACAGGAGCTAGATTACACCTGAAGGGGAAAAATTAATGGAAAAATGAAAAATAAATATGAAACATTCACTCTTAAAATGGTATGTATGAAAAGAAGAATGAGGAACAAGCATGATTTTTTTTCTCACTATGTGAAAAAAATCACCCAAATAATCTGCCTGGTAAAATTATATTTCAGTAACTCATCACAAATTTAGAAAGATTGTTTTCAATAAGGATGTTAATTCCCAGTATAGGGCTCAAATTGTCATTTGTATTCAATCTGTTCTTTAAGAATATTCTTACTGTTATCTTCACAAAGACATATGATACAAATTCATAGTAAGTGAATTTATGATGGTAAACTCACAAGGGCTCTGTCGCCATGCAATAGGCAATCTAAACCATATGGTGTTCTGTTAAGTAAGTAAAACATATTGGAATTAATATTCCAATATGCACTGCTTGTCAACCTTAAGTCTTTTCAACAACTTTACATACATTACTGAATTAATTTGACTTTTTTTACACTCTGAGTTTAGAGGAAAAGTACAATTCCTTATAGGATTGTAAACAAATCTACTTACAATTTTCTTCTATAGGTCTATATGAGGAAGAAAAGAAAAATGAAGGTATTATATTTAATATGACTGTCTAAGATTTTTAAGGAATGTAGTAAAGCCCATACTAAAAGATGAAATATTGTCCTTTCTGTTCCTTTTTAGGACATCCTCAAGTCACTTGCTTTACCTGTTAAGCTCTCTAAATCCCTATGGAATGCAAATATAGGAAGAGACAGAATTTGTCTTTCTGATCTTTCCACAGAGCAACAGGGACTTAAAAAGAACATGAAAAAATTTATTTATGTAACCTAATTCCATTCTTGTATTACATGACATCTTTGGAAAGTACCTTGAATTTATCTCCAACTGTTTTTTGGTGCTATTTTGATTCGATCACATTAATCTTTGGATGCTTGACTTGAAATACCATGTTTTTTTTTGAACTATATTAATGTGATAAAGTGGCAAGAATTAATCAGATGGTAAATGGAAACTCAGATCTTATTCAAACAAGAATTTACTATCTATAAAAAATTCATTTGAATTTTTTTCAATCTACACATTTGTGAAAAACACACACACAACTCAATATACTAGTTTTTTCTTCTCCTTTGTATGCCTTTCAAAAGAAAGCAAATACAACAGCTCTTCTATTTTGCATTTTTCAGGTTTGGTTGCATTAATAAAACTTCTCAAATTTCTCTTCCTTGTAGATTTTGCCCCATTAATTAAATTCTCAAACGTTAAATCTTAATTAAAATGTATGTTCTGCTCTTAAAAATTCCTAGATCTCTTATACCATTTACCTATATCAAGTGTCTTTCATCTTTCTCTGTTGAGCAAATTCTACACCACCTAGTGTGAGCTACTGAGAGAAAACATTAACACATGATAGTATTTATGAATTTGTAGATAAAAGATCTTGCATTTTCAATCTCTAAATCAGACTTTTTCTGCCCAAGTTCCATGCCATTGATTGAATTAAGATATCACTCATGATAAGGACATTAAGAATAGGACTACCTTTAAAATAAACTAGAGTTCTAGTGCTAGCACAGGTTATATTTTGTGATTTTTTTTCTTCTGTCTTGTGGTTTTCAGCACATCAGTTAACATCTTTTACAATACCTTTTTGGGCTATATTCAGTTGTAGGAACTTTACATGTTAATTTATCATTTCTGATCTTCAGTTAAATGGTTAAAAAACCATTGCTATACATGAACAGATGTCAAACTGGACAGCCTTTTGTGAGATTAATAGTGTATCGAGGATTTGATAATTTTTGAAGTACTATCGTAGGCACCACTCACATATTAAAACTAATCTATAATCCCAACCCAGTTTATTATAACATGAACTTGAATACTGTGGGGGTTAAGTATCTCCTAAAGATTGTTAGTATAGACCATTTTTCTTCATGCAAAATGCCCAGAACCTTTGTTAATATGAGGTTAACATGGTTCTGTATATTTCTGCTACAACAAATCCTCACCAATTGCTTTTAGAAGATTCTTGCTGTAGAGAAGCATTTATACTTTATTTTCACCATAACGTAAAAATGATAAGAAATGACACAATTGAAAAGAGTGAAAATTACATTTTACTGAATTATCTTTTCAGGAAAACATTACTTAACTATATTTTTATGAAATTTTCTTACTACATATTTAAAAGTCCTGCATGCTGTTTCATCTTTGCCAACATCCACTCTTTTAAGACTGACTAAACACACTTTTGACACGATTGTATGGGTATCCATCTCTTAAACGGTAAAAAAAATCATTAATATGAGCTTAGTATTTTCCATTTCAGAAGCAAAAAGAAGTTTATAAAATATTTCTAGAGAACAGGATTGGTCTAGGAGACAAACCGACATATTTGACACGATTGGAGAATGTTGCATGAGTCTCATGCTGATGAAGAGCAAACTGAAGATCAGAGAATGATAAATTCACATGTAAAGTTCCTACAACTGAACATAGCCCAAACAGGTATTGTAAAAGATGCTAACTGATGTGCTGAAAACCACAAGACAGAAGAAAAAAAAATCACAAAATATAACCTGTGCTAGCACTAGAACTCTAGTTTATTTTTTCTGGGGCAATCTGTATACTTTTTCACTGGGAATAGAGTAATACCATGTCCACATGTGGCCAGTAAATCACTGTATGGGTGAGTCAGATATTAAGTCATATAATTAGCTGAATGTCACATATTCAAGGAAAAAAAACTTAAGCAAAAATAACCAGCCAGTCATGCTGCAGTCCAGCAGTTCAGTAGAACAGTGAACTTGAGATTGTTGCTAGCAGCAATATTGCTGATTGAGCAAGGTTATAAATGTATTCTCTGTCACAAAATTTTAAAGTTTCTTTCTTAGACTCTTTTAGAGATGATAATATTAACCAGGATGTGTGTCAAGCATTTATGAGGTGATATGAGACTCATATTACTCTCAACAGCATAAAACAGATGAGTTGCCAATCTTTAAATGATGAATTTTGGGGAGCCAGAGCTTCTGAGCAGGCTCAAGCTATACTGGCTTTCGCCAAATTATGGTTTTTTTTGTACTGCCAAACTACTTTTGATAAATCCAAAAATACGAAACATATACAAAAAATCGGATGTGTTAGTCAATCTTCTTATTTGCTCTTAAATTCTCAGTTCTCAACTTTTCTGTGTGGATTCTGCACTATTGATTAAACATCTGCAGGAATGCAGAGGCTCTCCTTGTATTCCAGGCACCGAATTTTCTTCTATTATCTCATACTAACATGATGACTTTTCAGTATTCTTTATATGCAAAAGTGAAGATACATTTTTCAAAGGGGTATGAAATATTTATTTGTCGATTAGCCTAAATTAATTGTATAAAGGGGTTTTGTGATATTTATATACATGTATATAATACACATTGACCAAATTCACCCCTTCTATTATTTTCTTAACCCTCTTTGTCTTCTCCCACATTTAACAGCTTTTAGTAGTTTCATTACTCTATTTTCATACATGTATACAGTACACTTGAATCATATTCACATGCTCATCACTCTCTCCTTTTTCCACCCTTTCACTGGTTCCCCTTTTACAATCATGTCATATTATTATTATTATTTTAGGTCTGTATTCCACATATGAATAAAAACATGAGATATTTATTTTTCTGAGCTTGGTTTATCCATTCAACATAATAATCTTCATCATAAGGAAATTAATGCCTTTGCATGCGTGAATATAGCAAGATAATAGAATTCCCTAGCAAGAATATCTCTTGGCTTTGTTGATGTTCTCTGCATTTCTTTTAAACTATATTTCTATGCTCTAAATAAGTAGGAAGTCTCTCTTCTAATTATTCATCTATTGAGAGTTTATTGAAACATAACATTCAGTGTTCAGAATGTTTTCTTCTGGCTATTTTACTATGCAATTATTTAACAATTTTATATGCCCCAAATGTAATCTTGACACATATTAGTAGTAATATCACTAAAGTAAGGCTCTCCATTTAGCGAGCTATTTATTCAGTCTGTGGTGTGTTGTAACACATTTGTCCTATTTATAAAACTAATCAACAAGATACTGAGGTAAGACAAGGTGTCCTGTGTAATTGGAGGTTGTTGTTTAAATCCTTACACATATAACATAGATTAAATTAGGAAAAACAAGCCTGGGTGGATTACAGATTAGGCTCTTTTCCCTCCCCTACTTTTAGTTAATGTTCAAACAAATTCTAACACATAATCTTCATCCTTTTCCTTTGCTCAATCTCACCCTGTCTTTCCATGCATTAGCACTGAAATCCCTCAGTCCAAATCATCCTTACCAATGGTACTACATTTGCCAATTCTCTGGAAAATTGAAGAGAGCCTCTTCTCTTTTCTGACCCCAGAGAAAACTTGTGATCCTGTCTGCTTTCATCATGAAGAGCTAAAAGAACAAATAACCAGCTACTTGCTCTTTTTTTTTTTTTTTTTTTTGGCTTTGTGGTTCTCCTCTCAGAATCGCTAGAGGAGTTGGAATATGGTACCTGTCAGTCTCTGATATTCCTGAGGTGATAGTAAGAGGCTCCAAATAGTCCTGAATACTCAACCTAAAATGATTCATATAGGAGTAGTATTACCACCAATTTTAGATGAAAGACTAAAGTCAAGGTGATTAGGAAACATGTCTAAGAGTTTACAGTTTATAAAAGAAAATTTTCTAAATTGTTCAATTTAGAAATTCCAACTTACAATGACTTCAGGATAGTTTTAAGAGTAACATGATTTATTTCAGAATTATGGGAAATGTCTACATGTCTGTATGTTATATAAAAGGAAAAGTGTTTCATCATTTAGTCTTATTTTTTAATATCATAATCTATCTCAGTTCTAAAGCAAATTATATAAGGCACACAGACATGGTATTTCCCAAATTCTAAGCAGTTATTAGACAAAGTTCTAAATATCTATAAAATTAGCATAAAATCTGTACATCAAA